CCACCTTGGTCTGTTAGTGCTGCCTGTATGTACATTTTGATAAAAACAAAATGTGATGTTGCTTGCCTTTTCAAAGCCTAATTCTTATTCATGTGTCTGTGTTTTCACTGCTATGCCTGGGTGGTAATAGAAGAATGCATTTAGATCCCTGCATGAATTACCATATTTTTCTTTATCTGCCAGAAGTAAATGAAACAAATAATCAAACTGTCATGAGTAAACATACAATAATGATATGTTGCAGACTTTTAAGAATAAATATGCCTCTACATATCCACATTTTAGTGCTCAATTGTATGTGTGTGCCTGTTTGGGTTTCATGCCTAGTTGAGCACCTTGTCATCTGCTCCCAGCTGGATCACATGGCAGATGGTGGACGCAGGCAATCCCAAGTGACAGGATTTAACACGTTAAAAATAACACTGAATGTTGGTGTATGTGTGGGAGTTTGAGTCATTATCTGTGTATCTGTTTGTGTACAGTATATGTTAGTATATGTAGGTGCAATGATAATAACAAAAATACATGAAGAAGGAGAAACTGAATTATTCACCAGAGAGGAGAAGAGGGAGAGAGTTGGCAAGATATCTGCCTTGTGCAGGATTGTAAGGAAAAAAGTCACAATAAAGGAAAGCAAATAACTGAAGCTGAGAATAGGAAACAGATGGAGCAGATTCAGAAAAAGTGATGAAGTCCATGACAGCTTCTAGACTATTCCTTACTGATGTTCACATCATGTTAACTAGAAGACTGCAGCCATAAACTGAATTCTCTCTTCTTTACCTCTTTATCTTTAAATGTTTCTTCTCCAAACTCACATCCTTTCTGGTGAGACTGACAATGATGAGGTCATTGTCCTAAGTGCTACAAAGCAGCTCATATAGTCAAGCCATGATAAACTGAAAGAGCAAAGCAAAGCATAAATGCTGTCTCCTCAGTCTCCCCCTGTCCACCTTTATTTTCTCCATCATCTCTCTACTTTTTCCCCCACACTTGGCCTTTGCCTCCACCCTTGAGTCTGTTTCTGCCTTGATAGGTGCCTGCTGCAGTTATTACTGCCAGCTCTACTCAAATCAGTCTTTCTCTGTTCTTCTGTGTGCACATTATATTTCGTTGTGAATGTGTGTGTGATACAGAAAACAGCAAACCTGCATCCACCTCTGCAGTACACCACCACCCCAGTGAATATAGGTCACTCTTACGCACTCATCTGCTCTGTTCTTCCTTTTGTAGCTCTTACCTCTAATTTACACTTTCCAAACACTGCCTACCCTCCAGTTTTAGATTGACCTTCACCCGAGGCTACAGTCTGCTCCCCCTCCCCCCCACTTCAGCAGCCTTTATGCCACACCATATGTTTGCACTTTCCTCTAAAACCCTACCACCACCTCCTCCTCTCACTCTCCTACCAATATTAGATGCTATGAATGGTTGCTGTGGAAACTACATCCACCAGGGAATCAGTATGACATTGGTAGGAGTCACAGTGACAGTGCTTGTGCTGATGAAGAATAATGCTCTCTTTCTCTCTCTCTCTCTCTCTCCGTCTAGTCTAACCACACTCCCTTAGCAACAGCAGCCCCATACAGACGTTGCTACAGTCAATCACTCTGATTTACCCATTGTTACTTTCCAGCACAGTTTATGTGCATCGATTCTTTACTTTCCCATCAACCTTATCTTTTATTGCATACCCACTTGTTTCTTATCTTATCTCTCCAGGGGATGGTTACAATTCTGCACAGGTTCTCTCTGAATGTGCTCTTGGTTTAGAGACAGAGCTGTGAAACACAGACAGAGACAGAGAAGGAAGAAATAGAGGGAGTGAGGAACAGATAGCGAGAGCAAGCAGAACCCTGATTTCATTAAAATGGATCTGTTAATCTGGGTGTGGGCTGTGCTCCATCTGTCACAGCAGGAGCAGCACACAAACCAGGCAGCCAAAACACACTATGTAACACAGCCAAGCACACAAACACAAGCATGCATGTATGAAAACAAAAGAACAAAAAACACTATACAATGACACACACATACACACAAATTGATACCAACACAATTGGTGGCAGGAGGGGGGTGTCAGCTGCAGCTCTATGTTCCACGTCAACAGAAAAAACAGACTGCAAGGCAGAACAGCAGCCTGTAGGTACTGTGTGGCATCCAGACTGATATAACTCACTCAACAAACCAAACCTCCTTATACTCCTTCACCTCACCTAAGGACAAGAGCCTCCCTAACAGACAAGATGACTTGGTTATAAATAGTGCAGTCTATGACTCATAGTGATGTGACAGGCCACACCGAATCAATATCTCACATTCTGAGATATGGTAAACAAAACTTGAAAGTCAGAACTAAAAATCTTTCCCAATCTTGTCATCCAGTAAGAGAGGGTCATAAATAGATACTTTAATATTATGTGGTATGTTTAACCCATTATCTTTAAACTAAACCTAAAATTTGACCTAAAGCTAATCTTTCAACTTTGAACCTAGCTGACAGTATGATAAAGAAGATACAGTGAGCCCTTAGGCTAAGCAGAGTTAACATTACACAACGTGCTATTCTCGAACTGCCGCAGCTTAATTAGACCACCCTAAATCCTCACCAGCTGATGTTCTTACCACTGACCCACCCTGGAGAGTCACTACTGGCTGTTCTGTTCTCTCTCTTTGTCTTCCTACCTACAGTATCTATCTTTCTATCACTCATGTTTTGAAGCGCCTGCAGGCTGTAAGTCCTCAGCCAAGGCATGAAATCAATGGCAGAGTGCTGAGTGGAGGAGGCTGTGTGTGTACGTGGAAGGAAGAGACAGTAGTTAGTGTGTGGGTAGTTTGTCTGCCTGCCCAGTCCACTGCCGCCTGTCTATAAAAGACACCAGGCCAGGCCATCTCAACATTCTTAATTACAACAAATCACCTGTTTAGCTAAACCTAATTGCACTGTCATCAGTGGTCTATCCCTCTAATTGCACATGCGCCTGTCTACTCCTCATTTTTTTCTTCCACGCCACTCTTTTCTCTATTTCATTTCTTAATCCTTTTCGACCCCACTAGCCTGTCCTCATGAGGAAAGTCATGACATGACAAATGAATTCCCCTCAGTGCACGGAGTGCGCTGACACTGTGTATGCACTGCATGTTTGGTCATAAATCTTGGTAAGGGGCAGAAGATATGGCATCACATGCAATGACATTCACATTACAATGTTCATGAAATGTCATCTAGCATCGAATGTGTTGTCATTTAGAAGTTTGTTTTGCTCCAGTGTTCCTGTTGTTATGATTTGTCTAGCACTGTTTTCTAATAAGCTCCTCTGCAGTGCTTTATTTGAACCTTAGGTCTGATAAAAGTCAAAAACATTTTGTCCTTTTATCATTTATAAATAAAGACACTTTTCTGCATCGAATGCGACCCTCTCCTGTCATCATCAGTTATCATAATAAGGATAACACTCAAGTCTTTATGAGTGCGGCGGATGCACTGCATATAAATCTGTTCCACCCTTGCAATACTCCTACATGCCTGGGAACAGCGACATAGCAAAAGGTGTAAACAGTTAAATTTAGACTTAACGGATATCAAGCAACAAACTAACTTGACTCTTCCATGTGCGTCACTTGCCTGTAGCTGCTTAACAGCAGAAGCGGTTACCATTCTATTTGAACAACACTGAATTTGACTCAGATTTGCAGTTTCAGATACTGTCATGCCATTGAAATACCTGGTGGCTTATGTTCTTTATTAGACTGCTTCCTGCACGAGAGCACTATTAAAGTCTCTTGCTGCTATACAGCTCAGTATTTGTGCAACCCACAGATACGTACACTCAGAGGCCATTTTATTAGTTAGGCCTGTACAGTTTACTGCAGCCCACTGCAACTGTTCTGCCATAAAGTCTACTTTTATGATGCCTATAAATGTTAATTCAATTATATGTTTTAGCACTGAGACTGTAGTAGGTGATATGTTGCACTGGCTTGCCACCCTCATATATGTAAATAAGAAGGACAAAAAAATCAGAAACACATCTCAACACCTTTAAACATGATCTCAGTAATAAACAAGTAGCTGAATTTACATGCTTCCAAAATGTAAACAAACACTCAACTGATACATGAGTCAAAATATCACTGCAGTGATAAAGCAGACGTCTAAGCGGTTATTAACGTGTTTGCTAACAGCTGCAGCTGTTGACACACAACTAGATGCTGCTGCATAAACAGATAATGAATATAGTAAAACTGTTGTAGTTATATAAAATGTATGTGCAGGAGAAATTGTAATTGTTAACTAATACTGCACATTAATAAACACTTAGTGTTTGTGTGGCTGATTTACAATGAATTGTGTAGTTTATAGTGTGTTAAAAATCATTTATATATAGTGCTTATAAATGTTACATAAGAGGACTTAAAGCAAAATGTTACCATATAATTTGTTGCTAACATCAGCCATCCCTAATCTTGTTGTCCATGAATGTGCATATAAAGAGCAGAGAATTAAAAGGAGAGTGAATGTAATTATATTTTATTATTCCTCTCTAATGTGTTCTCTAATGTTTCTCCTCCTCTGTGGTTCAGTGGCTTATTCCTCTGTAAACATCTTACTGATAATCCAATCAGCTATTGCCCATCTGTGTCCCTTTCTTTCTCCCAGTATTGCCTCTCTTTTCCTGCTACAGAGGGCAGATATCCATCTCTGCCTACATAGCACATGTCATTTCCTCTCCCTGCAGAAGTGGGAAGTGGTAGGAGTGGGTCAAGCTGAACTTGTAGCAGATTTCTCTATATTATTAATTGTATTCCTCTCTCATGGTTTGACAGGGTCTGTGATAAGTGTATAGTTATTGGTATAAGAAAATCCTTAGCTGATTGTCAGATTTGTCTGTTTCTGTGTCATGCAATGTGTTGCACAGACGTCCATTAATCTGTATTAAAGATGTGGCTAAACCAGTACTTCAGTTAGATGTGACTGGTGTAGCTTAACTAATTCTTACCAGCGGCACTGGATGCAGTGGGCCAGTTCTGAACCAGGACCCCCTGGGCTCCTTGCATTACTGAGGACTCCTCCATGTGCACTGAACTGGAACACAAAAACAAGCATACACATATTACACAGTGGAAAGATATTTTTCCACGTGCTGCATTATATCAAGCTGCACAGCAGAATGCTTCTAAAATGTCTCCATATTTTTCCTACAATGCACAAGATTACAAATTCAAACCTAGGTGCTCTGTGTGGGGGAGTGTGTTGGAGGAGCAGCAACCACAACCCCAGAAATGCAAAATTCAGATAAGGATTAAAGTATTCACCCTACATTTTCCTGACACTCTCTGGATTATGGATTACAGTTCTTACATTTACACCCCTGCTCTGTGGGATTTCAGATCCCTCCTCTCAAATGAAAAAGACTCCCCACACTCTGCAGTGCCAAACAACAGCAACAGACATACAGACCACAGTTCACTGCCTCTGCCTCATCTTTAAAAGTTTTAGTTGTGAAGATCCAGGTGAAATCAGTCTGTCCTTTATAAGAGGTCACTGCTTTCTGATATGAGCCACGCACGGAGTGAAGAACCTCTCTTAAAGGGTCACTTCACCCAAATTATAACATATTAGCCTAGCCATGAGACAACATCACTAAAACAAGGTACTGTATCTAACCATGCAGTGCGGAGAGTAACAAAAAATATTTTTAAAGGTTATCTTCTAGCTGCTGCGTGTTAGCAGCAGATTAAATACTTATTATTCTTCACTGTCAGTCACTTCCTGCTGCTATATCACCTAAATTTAACTGTCCACTCTTCCCCTCACCCTATCAGTAGCAAAGATAGTTAAAAAAGATGTATGAATCTAGATCCCTCCACAAAGGTCGTTTGGTAATGGGGGCTTTTTAAGTGCTGCTAAGCACCAACACCATCAGAGTACACTGATCAAATATTCATGGAAAACACTGGACTGATAATACAGGTTTCAGCTAATGCCGGACCTTCTCTTTCATCCCTCATGTTCTCATCTTCTCTCGCTGTCTGTAACCACATGCTTCCTCATCATTTTCCAGTGATAATACTTTCTCATGAGAGTGGATTTACAGTACACTACTTGTAATGGTCACAAAATGAGCCCCAACACAACTTCCTACAAAGCAAAATTAAGAAGAAATCTTGTGCATTCCACCAGAGACTAAATGAATTAAATATGTCAGAACCATTACATAGTGTTTGAGTGTGGTATCCAAAATCTTTCTGACAAGCTCTGCTTATGTTTGTGTATAAACACATGTAGATTAACATTCAGTGAGGCTTGTTAATGGGGCATAGTCAAACCAAATCACATCAGAAGTAATGAGTCACGAGAAAGATTTAATATGTTAGACTGGCTCACATGAGCACATTGACTTTCATTAATCCCTGCTGTAATCATAAGGATATCTGTGTTATATTAATGACACATCATGCACTAATCTGACATGAATAAATACATAAGTGTATCTATACAGCTTATGTATAAATAAAGTAAACACAGCTAAGATGTATTGCATGATCCAGATTACATATGAGTTGAGATTCAGACATCAACACTGCACTATGCTTGCAGACTGGACAGTATCACTGAAATACAAAACAAAGATCGGATCAGCACAAATGAAGAAACACATGAAGCCCACGTACATCTCTGAGCAGCAGTAGACAAGTGCTGTTTAGTTGGATCTGTGAAAGGCATGTCCCCTCTGTCATTTACAGTATGTGGTTGTCTCTGCTATATCACAGCCACAAAGACACACTGCTCTGTGCATGTGTAGATATTATTATTATTATGTTTTAGGTGTCATGGAGAAACTACTTATAGCCTGTTTCCTCTGACATAAGGACTAGAAAGCCAGCAGTCTGTTACTTACACATTCCAAGGATATCATGATCTCAGATGTCCACTGCAAATAAACATCCATGACTCGGCTTAGTAATCACAAACAAAGATGCCCCTCATAATGCCAGTATTTGCCTGAGTACCAAAGCAATGCCTTAACTTTTGGCAGTACATCCAACAGCAGGTAGCAAACAGCAACTGCTAATAGCGAGTGCAACTTGTTTTACTGAAATATATCTTAAACATGCTGCATGCCACAGCACAACTCATTAAATCCATGGCAATGTATCTCCTGTTTCTTGCACAGTAAATGTTTGTTTCATTTAAGTGAATGCTTTTAACACTTAACACAACAATACCCAAAAGAGTTGCTAACATCACCGTAAGGCATAGCTGAGGTAAACAAAGTTGACAGCAGCGCAATTCATTTGACTGACAGGTGACTGGCAAATAATGAATTAGTGCCAAAGAAGACGGGATATCTGTGTATTTGATTGGACTGCAGATTGAGCAGGTTTACTTAGCAAAGCTCTGTTGTGTAACATTTTTAGTTTTGTTATGCATGCATTGTAGGCTACATACTGCATATTCTCTGAACCTTTAGGAGAGCTACTCAGAATCAGGGAGTAAGCTGCTCTATACCATATCTCTCTGTGGATAAATTGAGGAGATTATGTAGCTATGAGACAGTACACAGACACAGAGTGATATCTTGGCTGAGCCCTTGTCATTACGCCTGGGACTACTTGCAATTATTGTGCCATCTCTTTAGCATGAGCCTTGATTTGGTGACCACAGCAGGTGATAGCCTGGTATTTTGTTAATTGGTTATTATGATCACTGGTGTGGTCACGCAGCACTCCCCAATAGGCCATCTTTTCACCTGACTACTTGCCCTTCATCCATCACTGACCCCCTCTCTGCTCACCCTTCCCTCCTGTCAGTTCTCCATCTGCCTGTTAGTATAGAGAGAGCCATTTGCAACTGCACCGTTCCTCACCGTGTCACTTCTCTCATAGTTCATTTATTTTTTTACTGATCCTTAATACAGTTAAAATGTTTCTTGCTGAAACTGGATGTTTCAGTAAAATACTGATAATTTGGAGATTACATACAATTTACCATAGCTGTATATTTAACTGAAATACTGTACAATGGGAAATTTAAATGTAAATGGGTAAAACAAGATGGTAATTATTTTCTTTTGGAAATGACTGTTGCTAGATCCCACCCCTTCCTCTCTGCACTGCAGTCATAGCAGAGCAACAGCTGATCTCAGACATCTTTACTGGAATAGGCCTTCGAATGAACATATATGCCTCACCTGGCTGCTTCTTGGTACTAAATGGATTTAGTGGTATGCCAAGAGTGGATTAGGCTGTGAAGTTGATATCAGTGTCAACTCAACACCAGTAACAAGGTGGACTAATAACAATATAACACCTGTCATTAAAATAACATGTATCTGCCACTAGAATGTTGGCACTTATGTAAAATATCATGGGCCTTAATTATTTATAATAAAACACTACTTTTTTGCATGATGGGGGTCTAATGACAACAATAACAGACTTCTAAGTGTGATTTTTTTTTTACCTCCACTGCAGGGTGACAGTTCTTCAAATGAGCAAGAGAATGATGTTGCATTAATGCTTCATTTGATTATGTTTCATTTTATGCTCATGATCTGAATATACACTGTGCCTCAACTGAATATTAAAACCCTTTCTGGAGACTTTTTGAGGATAACTTGACCGTCAGAATGAACTATTACTTGTGTCAGTCTATACCTGGAACAGGGAGCATCATATTTATGTTCAATTAGCTTTACCAAAGACTGGGTGGTGCATAAGAGAGTCATTTAGAGAATGGTGCAGGATTTGGTTATTTGCTTAAATCTTCATAGATTATCAGGTGGGATGATAGTGCACATCTTTTGGTCTTTAACAAAATATGATGAAAGTGACTGGTGAAGTATGATGAGATGATGATGACAGAAAAAAATTGGATGCTTACCTTTGCATTACACCTCCTGCTCTCAGGGAGGCTGAATATCTCCAGTCTGAATTCGGTGCCTTGGGCTGCAAGAGAGAGCGAGAAGAACTGAATCTTAAGTACAGGCGAAAGCCACCAACATCTCATTAATAAGTCATGATGAGAACTGCACATCCTGCACGCACATAAACACACACACAGTCATAGCAGTGACAGCTTGCCCCTGCCTGTGAAGAGAAGTGTGTGATGAACTGAAGCTTGCAGGTGCATTCATTCTCTCCAATCCCACACTATCTCCACCTCCTCCTATACTCCATCCATATCTTTTGAAAAAAAGAAAATGACTTTGAGAGATTTAACTCCAGTGACCCACTGACCCTGGAAGTGTGACACTCAGGCTACATGTCCAAGGTTAATCCGGACTTGACTGGTCATGTTCCAATTTATTATTATAGATGCATTACTGAACTTTCACTTTGCTGTTTGTGCTGACAGACAGACTTAATTGAAAGACACAGCTAATGAGATCCAATCCTTCGTCTACAGTCTCTGTCACTCTATCAAAATATGCAAATGAACCATGAGAAAATTACTGAAATAGTGTGGTTTCAGTGACTCTAGATGATGGTTTCTGAACAACTTTCCTTGTTGTCTGCATATTTTCTTTTCACCCCCTACTCTATTCTGCCTCTTTATACCCACAACCCCCCTCTCTCATGCTGTCTTTCTCTATTATATCTACTTTACACTGATCAAAACCTTGAGTATCACTGGCACACACTGTCTGAGTCCGTCTGACACACCTCACCATGGTAACTGTGCAGAACTCAGTATACATACAATACAATAAAAAAATATAACATAATATAACCTGACAAACAGGGTTAGAGGATTAAAATGTGTTCACCGGTTAAGATTCTTCTGTAATATTATGTTAATGGTGCAGCAAAATGGGCTGTTAACCTGATCACATAGACAAGATGATATTGCCTTGTCTCTTATCCACATATAAGCCAGTGATAGAACTGAACCAGTCTCACTGAGGACAACAAATTTTCCATGCTTGGCCTTCCAGTCCAGAAGAGACCCATCTGCATCTGCAATCTTATTTCCTTTCAAGTATTACAGATGTTTACTTGCTGTTGAAGATGCATTGCCCTCTGTAAGTCTGCAGTAGACATTTGTCACCCTTGAAATCCAATATTTGGTCTTAATGAGAGAAGCCTGGTACTCCTCCTGGAGCCATTTAAAAAGAGCAAACTGACTACGGGGATACAGAGCACTGCAGCATCTGAGATACCAGAAACTATAAGTAAACGTGGTTAATTAGACACACTTACTCATCAAAAAGCAAATCAGCTGCTGGATCAATTGTTTGGATTAATACTGAAAGAAAAAAATGTTATTATGGCATTGAACACAGTTAAAAAAAAAATTCTGTTGTGTAATTTCAACCTTTGCACCATTCACAGGAAGAGAGTGAGACAAAACAAACAAACCAACAAACAAAAACATCACAAACAAGCCCAGATTGTCCATAAATGGGGATGTCAAACCTTTGCCCTGTTGTGGCACAGCAGTGGACAAGGGGAGACTAGACTGCTCGACACACACAGATGTTACATACAAGCATCTGGAACCTAAGTCTGATATATACCCAAGGGAAGACATGGAAAATTGGAATATTACCAGTCTACACAGCAAATGTAAACACAGAAAACAAAAAAACAAAAATCTCACTCCTACTGATGATGAAAAATTAATGCATTCTGTTTCATCGTTCAAAAAATAGAAACCACATTAGGAGACACAAAAGGAAAGATTTCCACAGACTTTAAATGTATTAATTTCCTTGCCTGGCTGTACATTGTAAATCAGGGAATGAGGCTTTTGGTTTGGCTTTTTCCTCTACACTCCCCTCTCTCTCTAAAAGAACATTCTTAGCATGGATACAGAGCTCACACCTCAGCCATCAACACTGCGTCCAATCACCTTTCATCCCCCGCCTCATCTGTGCAGAGCCAGCCAATCCATGCACAGTATTGGGAAATACATCACTACCAGTTAATTACATAGCAAGAACAAACATGAATGGCATTTAATGAAGGATATATCAAGTGATAACAGAATGATTACCTTTAACATTTCATTATTCCTCTTTCTTGCACATATTTTTTTTTATCTGCATCCTTCTCTGTACACTATTGTTTGTTTTACCAGAACTAAAAATTATGATGCAAACAACTCTGTGCAAATTGTCATCAACATTTCACATGCGAAAAGTGCCACAAACTGCTTTACATGGACCTCAGACACTCTCTGTCTCATTTCTGGCTTTCTTACTGATTCCCAAAGTCTGGCTTATTGTTCAGTACCGGAGAGGTACGTGACCAGAAGAGGATATTTTGGTGCAATGTGACTGGTGTTCCTTGTAGCAGGCGAAGACTGCGTTATTTGCTAGGCATTACCTCTCTATAAAGACGTTCACTGAATGCCCCCTAGACCTACTGGACTTCAATAGAGTGGTGCACAGCTCACAGCAGACAAACAATACTGGTTGTGTGGGGTCATAGGTGAATAAACTACTGAAATCTGCCAAAGTGTAGAAGAGAGTAAGTAACAGAGACGAGAGAAAGCTACAGAGAGAGATGGTTTGATTACAGATCTTTGCACAACTGTGGAAGACCAATGCAATTTTAATATGTTAAACTGAGAATTTTCTTTTTTATGAACTGTGTTTGATGTCATTTACTGTTGTGAGGTGATCTAAAATGACAAAACGCAGATGTCCCACCAAACACACACCTGAATGGCAGTTGAGTCTGGCATACTGAGACGCCGTACAAATATTTGGCTCTGTCCGCTGTGGCTGGTGACGTAGCCTGAGCCCCAGGTGCCACTGTGCGGTCGCCCGGTGTTGTAGAACATAAACGTGTCACTCCCTGACGTAGCGGTCAGGCATGTCTTGTAACAGTAAGTTTTGGTAAAAGACCCATTTCCTCGCACTTCTATATAATGCGGTTCCACTTTGAGGTCACGGCGCTGGGCCACATTTTGGTTTGGCTGTCCTCCACCTCCACTGTTACCTCCTCCAGCTGCAGGTCTCCCTCTACCTGCACCTCCACCTGCTGAGGTGCCACCCTCTGGCACACCCTTCTTAGATACACAACATGGGGAGCAGGAGCCAGGCTGGGTGCAGTAGGCATGGCAGCGCACAATAGCCAGCACGAAGACGGTGACAAGAAACACAAAGGTTGTGGCACTCAGTGCAATGATGAGGTAGATGGTGACCTTGGAAAACATTAAGGGGCTGTTAGGCCTGATAATACGCTTGGGGTCAGGAGCCAACTTAGGTGGCAGCTCCATCACGTTCACATGGATGGTAGCAGTAGAGGAGAGTGGCAGTAGACCATTATCATGCACCACAACAGCCAAAACAAAGGAGGTGGAGTTGTCCTCAGTGACACGTCTTGTGGTACGGATCTCACCTGTATACTCATGCACCTTGAACAGGTCAACGTCTGTGTTGCTCTGCTCCAGGGAATAGAACAGCCAAGCATTCTGCCCTGCATCACCATCCCACGCTGTCACCTTGCTAACCAACACTCCTGCTTCAGCATTTTTCATCAGCGTCTCTGTGGCGCGGCTCCCGTTGGCAGGTGGGTAAACTATCCTGGGTGCATGGTCATTCTGATCAATAATGTAAACATACACTGTGGCCACATTGCTGCGTGGAGGTACACCATTATCCTGGGCTTTAATCTGAAAGTGAAACTCTCTTAGCTTCTCAAAGTCGAAGGCTCGCAGGGCATAGGCCTCACCTGTAGCTGGTTTGACACTGACGTAGCTGGCTACAGGGACATCAGGGTTGTTGTCATAGAGTACACTATAGGTAATACGTGCATTTTCTCCAACGTCAGAGTCTCTTGCCTTAACAATAACCAGAGATGCACCAGGGGCATTGTTCTCTGGGATATAAACCGTATATGATGTCTGCTCAAAACGAGGTGGGCTGTCATTTACATCTGCAACATCCACTTTAAAGGTCATCTGAGATGACAAGGGTGGGGTGCCTCCATCTACAGCACTGATGGTGACATTGTAAGAGGAGATGGATTCTCTGTCCAGGAAAGCAGATGTAACAATAGTGTATTGGTTTCGGAAGGACTTGATCTTAAAAGGCAAATGAGGCATGATCTCCAAGGTTACTTGTTTGTTTGGTCCATAGTCACGGTCATTCACACTGATCAATGCTACAACTGTGTCAGCCCGAGCATCTTCACGTACCGGGCTGGAGAGTGAAGAGAGAACAATCTCAGGAATGTTGTCGTTGACATCCAAAACTTCTACAACTACTTTACAGTGCACTGCCACAGAAGCTGGACCTCTGTCCATAGCCTGTATATACATTTCATATGAGTTTGTCTCCTCATAATCAATATTGTTTTTCACTCGAATTTCTCCTGTGTCTGTGTCCATGGAAAACATCTGTCTGACTCTCTCTGGCGTGTAACTGCTGAAGGAGTAAAAGACCTCTCCATTTGAGCCCTCGTCAGGGTCTGTTGCATTTAATTTGATCACAAGTGCGCCCTTTGGAGAGTTTTCAAACAGTTTTACTTTGTACACGGAGCTGTCAAAAGCAGGCACATTGTCATTGGCATCAATGATACGCACATTGATTTTGGCAGTGCCAGTTCGCTGCGGGATGCCTCCATCCATTGCTGTCAGGGTGAAGTGATGAGAGGGCATCTGCTCGCGGTCAAAGGGCTTTTTGAGAATGAGCTCGATGTGCTTGGAAAAAAGCTTAATGGAGTCCAGAGTGAGGTGGTCGTTTGGGCTGAGTCGGTACTGCTTCACCGAGTTTGAGCCATCATCTACGTCCTGAGCTCCCTCGATTTGGAACCGCGACCCGGTCAGAGCAGACTCTGACACCTCAAGCTGATATTCGTCTCGAGGGAACTGTGGTGCGTTATCGTTTACGTCCAAAATCTCAACCTCCACGTTGTGCTGCTCAAATGGATTATCTAATACCACCTCCAGGTTAAGTGAACAGGTACCACTGAATTCACAAACTGTCTCTCGGTCAATACGGTCACTCACCACCAGCTTTCCAGTTTTGTGATTGATGGTGAAATATCTCCGTCCACTGTCCGATGTGATTCTGATGCGCCGGGTGGAAAGTTTTCTCAGGTCCAGACCCAAATCCTGGACAATATCACCGACCATTGCCCCGTTCTCCAGCTCCTCCGGAATGGAGTATCGAATTTGTGCATTAGTAAGGCCACTGGCTACGAAAATAACCAAATATAAGGAAAAGGGCACATTCTCCATTACACTGTAACAGCATCGCGCCGTCACAGCCATCGCAGGTGGGCAGAATTTGCAGACGGAATGGAGAAATCTTTCCGCCTTTTCAGTTTGCTATTTGTCCCCACCTGCCTCATGAAAAACACTGGAATAGTCCGACTATGTGCAGGACGACCAACGCACACTCGCTGCTACCTGTTTCAAGGACATTTCCCCCTGTGAATCCATGTTTTCCTTTGTCTGTCTGGATGATGTTTGTACATTTCTCTCTCCTCCGCTGGTTCCATTCACTGGTGCTGCCTATTGGTCTCTCTTTTTCTCTCTCAGCTGCTCTGGTGATGGTGTCTGTGGGCGAAAGGGGAGGGGGCGCCACTCGCTCAAACGAGGCTGGCTGCATTTCAGTACCTCCGATAAAATGATGGAGCACAATCTAATAAAAACAACCCCCCAAAAAGACGAAATCTCTGACAGTTTACTATTTATCTACAAAACAGGACACCGTAGCGGCCAGTGTCACCCGATCACTGATTTGGGGGAAATGAATTCGACACAATCGCTTTCCCTCTTCATTTTTTTTAAAACAGTGCCACCGCCCTTTCACTGTGCGGTGGGAAAATGATCTATGAACCTGGCGATTAGACTCTCAATGACGCAAAGCCACTTATTCAGAAACCTTATAGCCAAATATGATACACAGACACAATACGGCATTTTGAAAATAAAAATAAAGATAAAATAACCTTAAAAATAAAAAGCTCCATGTGAATTTAGTCTCATCAGAAATGTCCAGCACGCATGAGTTTGATAGCCTATTTAAAGAAAAGGTTGATTTTATTGTTTTTAATAGCAAAACAAACACCATGGAGATATGGGGAAGTGACAGGTGAATTGGCAGGGGTTGGATTTGAAGGGGTCCTTACCCTATTTTCTCCAACGCAGTCAGACCAATAGCACGGTGGATCTGGCTGTTTTTACCCTGTGTCTGCTGGCGAGTTATACAAGGGACATTTGTCAGCACCATACATTTTCTGTTCCTGGCACTTTTCTCTACAGTAACAGCTGGCGATGCTCTGCATTTCAGCTCCTATTGGTCGCTGGTGCTGCAGAGCCCTTTGCGCCACAGGTTTATTCCCACATGAAGCTCAAAGCCCGTGATATAATGAGGTTGTTCACTGGTGACGACACCGGATCTTAGACAAGATGCTCTAGATGTGACCCCTCTCCACACCTGGCAACATACAACGCTGGCATCACCTGCCATGCAGAAATGATTATGCACTAAATTAAAGCAAACCACTTCACTATTTGCTAAAGCACTTAGGAAATGCGAGAAGACACTATAGACAATAGCAAACAAATCATGTTACCAGTCCCAACTGGTGTTTCAAGTGACAAGATGATGCACACAATATGAGTGAGACTCCTTTTCCAGCCTATACTTTTTGACTGTAATCTGCAGATGTTGTGAACAGTCGTGTAGCAGGTGGTGAGATTAATACCCAAATCATTCTGCTTGGGTTGCCTCGAATTACTCCGGCCTGGGTACTCATGTAACTCAATTAAATTCAGATTTAAATTGGATTCAGGTCGATTGGATGAGACCTCAACCACAATGCAGTCAACATGACAGCCAGAAATTGAAGATCTCTTGACACTGTTCAGTGTTATTTGAAGAATGTGGAAAACAATCAATAGATCCTAATAAGAGCCAAGATGAATATAAATACAAATCTTCTCAGGAAAGACAACAGTGCATCCAGTGGATTGGATGTTATTTTCCCTATACACAAGCTATATGCCTATGCAGTGAGTAAGCGGTCTTGTGAGACCCCTAGCTTTCATAGTGTACACCGGCCACTGGGCCAAGATGAGCGTCCATCGCCCACATAATCTTTTTCCTCACTTGGTGCTCTGCCACTCGCACCCACACCCACGCTGCCCAAGGCGATGACAGAGCTTGGCATTCCGGGAGATGAGGAGATGACAGTGACTCACTCAGATGCTGCTAATGGATACAGAGCGACTCTTCACACTCTAAGATGATGAGGGGGAGGGGTAAAATAGGGAGCGGGAGAAGCAGCCAAAACTTCACCAAAGGAAGACAAATTAACAAAAAAAATCTCTTCTACGAAGAGTTTGTTTATAACAGACTTTATTCGAGGTTCATCTCCATCCGTGTAATAATAACTATATGATATAGAAATATCATATAAATATGTTTTTGCATAGGTGCAGAGAAAATCTTTAAAAGGTTACTGTATTTGGCAGGGATTTCTTTCTTTCTGCATTATTATCCCACTGAGGTGGGGGCGTCAACAGGGACTCAGATGGGCCTATGTCTGCTACACTAGCAGTGACATTTAGCAGATTTTCCCGGTGGGAAGTGTGAACCTCAGTATTTCATGATGGCACACAATGAAAACAGACGACATTTATCTCATCAGCAAATGCAGATCTGGATTTGCACCTGAGCTTTGCACTTGTCTCTCTGATTTCTGTCCTTTTCCTCGTCTATTCTTACAACGTATTTCAAATATAACAGCGCTCTCCTATCTGCTTCAAGCACACCCATCTGTTTCAACATTAATTGCATGCCCCTGAGCTGTGGATTATTAAATTTTTCACTCAAGGGTGCTGCAGATAAAGTTATCACCATTATTCCACCTGCAGACAGACGCCCTTTACGCACCAACAGCCACTGATTTCAAAGAACTAATTTGCTAATTGGTGTTTATTTCTCTCTCTCTTACCTTTAAAAAGAACATGTTGTCAGAGATTCGTTACCCTCCTCATTAACTCATTTACCTGACCTTGACATGTTTTGTATTCTCATCCCCTGTCCTATCCCACCATATTTTCACTTTATCCAATTGTCTCTGCCCTATTCTCTCCACTCTGGAGCGTTTCCAGCTGTGCCCCTGTCAGGCATCCGCTGCTCCAGCTGAGGGCTGCTGAGGAGCATACTGGGGTCTTTAGTGGAAACACTACAGCTCAGGCCTTTTGCAGACTAATTAAAAAATGACTTCACATGGCGTGTGATGGACACAGGGAAGCAAGATAATTCAGATATTAAAAATTGAGTGCCTTTCTTTGTTCATTTTCTCTGCCAGAATGTTAATATCCCTTATTGCATCAATTATGCAAGATGGTAACCATATTAATAACATTCTCTTCACAAGACTCAACCTCATTAATAGTGCAGGGGACCACTCTAAAAGCCATCCATACTGTATAATGTCCCTTATTACAGTCTGTTATATGGAATCCCCTTCATTTTTAGTGACTTAAATGAAAACAGAGCCAGAAAGAAACAGATCATGGTGAAGCTATCATGAAGGAGGCCTTCTTATCACTCCCTCAGTCAAACAGATATACAACCAAGCGCAGCCATGCAAACTCAAAGGGTATTTGTGCCTGTAGGCATGTAGGCTTGCAAACACATACACACAGGCAGTGTAAAACACAACCACAAAAACACAAAGCCTATTTCAAAAGAAAATTATTTTGTCTAAACGAATGCCAGGACAGAACCACAAAAACACAAAGCCTATTTCAAGACAAAATTATTTTGTCTAAACGAATGTCAGGACAGCTTTTGCTGTTGCCACCTCTCATGCTTAAATGTCAAAAAAAAAAAAGCCATCAAGGGCTTTGATAAACAAATGCAATGATTGAGAACAGAACATAGACATTATACTGACTATACCTAGTGGTTTACAATAAAACCCATTATGTTCCTATACTTGAAAGCAGTAAAGAGTAAAGATGGATTTTCCAAAATTAAAGACTTCTCACCTAAAGTTTTGTTGAATGTGATAACAGTCATATTGTACTATGAATTGCACTGGCACTAGTAGAATGTGAATGTCACAAATTGTTTTTTCACATTTTTCCTGCTAGCACATCGAGAAGGTGAGCAGGAAAAAAGAAGAAATGTCTGCAGGCTGTTTTGCAGCTAAACAATGGTGTCAGAAAATGTTCCTTCACAGTTAGCACATTAAAAAACACGTACTGAAATGAAGAAGCAAAAAGATGAAATAACAGCTTTTCTTTTAGATGTACAGAAACAAACTAGTGTTCCTGAGAGTCATAAGAAATATTTTAAAAATCACCCCCACCTCATCATATTAACAGTTCATGTCAGTTTATGTTGCCCATTCTACTGAAGCAAAAAAGTAAAGTATGTCTGATAGAAAATCCAGTTTGAAAGACTGTATGAGTAGTGCCTCCTGTATGAGTTATGCCCCAGTAAACAAATAAATTCAATGGTTAAAAACCAACGCTAATAGCACTGCAGATCTAATCCTACTATAAGAAGGAGTGGGAGAGACAGGGTGAGGAAGAGAGGAACAGAGGTGGGAGAGACAGTGAAATTGGTCCCTCTGTTGGAATAAATTGGCAGTACAAGGGTTGGACATGTGAACATCACTCCACTGCCCAAGCACACAGACTTTCTCATTAAGCCATGGCACTAAAACATAATCCCAGCAAGGAGTATGTACGTGTGAGGGGTGGTGGGGAGAGTGTGAGAGAGAAGGGCACAGACATAAGCCTATAGAGGTCATTTTCTTTCTCATTCACAGTACAGTGACCACAGTGGATAAAAGAATACATAACACCCTCCAGAGGTGAGATGGGAAAGAGCAGTATAAGGCATCCTGATGGTAGAATATACTGTACACTACTACTGCAACGTGTTAATTTACAATACTATGTGTAAATGTATTAGGTGAATGCATCACACACACTCAAGCACACGAGAATTTGGTCTCTAAGGCTACTTTTTAACCGTACACAAACAGATACACGCAAGCACACAGGAAATAAACAACCTCTTGTCACAGCTATGCTCTAGTTTTGCTGTCACTCACTTTACCAGCATTACTCTTTAAGAATAATGCACAGAAAGAATCGTCTGAAATACAAAACTAAAAAAGACTGGTAAATTATTTTAACAAAATCTGACTGGTTTTGTATATTTGTTTGTAGTACTATGACACAGCTTTGTTTTCACACATTTTCCCCATCGTAACTTTCTATGCACCAGAATTTCCCCATTTTAAAATCTCCAGAACAAAAGCTCGACAATAGCCACAATCCCTTTACTCAGGTGAACACAGTAAGCGGGTGGATGAAGCATTCCCTGTTTATTTGGGCTGATCCCTTGTGTACTATGGTTTAAAAAATAAAGGGCATGAAAGAAATAAAAGCAGCTCAAATCCCCCCCTCTGGGCCCTGTAAGGGGTTAAACCACTCCTTGGATGTCCTGGTTAAGCTTGGCATGGAACAAAGCCATCAGGAAATGCAGACAGGCTTTGGATAGTTTCCTTATAGGATGCCCTAGCTTTGTGTCCTTGCCGGATGGGAGAGGATGAAACCCGTGGTTGCAAGCATGACAAAACTAATCTAATGACTGCAACAACATCCCGATGCTACTAAGAGGGAGCACGGATGAAGGCTGGACTGGCGGAAGTGAGGGAGAAGGGTTGGGGTGGTGATAAGTTCTTCCTTTTATCTGTGACCAATTCTAAGCCTGTGATGTTCTCACTCAGCTGCAGGGCATGTATTTAATATTTTTTCCTTCTTTTTTAGTCAGTTTTGTCCTGAGAAGCTCCCATT